TAGATTTTGATGCCTTCACTGCTGCAGGAATCGTGGCTCCAGCCCACTTGGGTTACTCCCTTTCATTATATCTCCTCTTACTTGGGCTTTTTTTCCTTTTCCATTTAGTGTGGTGTTTGGCCTAGTGCATGTCATGGCTGAGATAACACCTTAATGTTGGTCACAGATGACTATTTTAAGTGTCTGTTGTGCCTGTGTGAAAGCAGTATTCCATACAGGTGCTGTAGCTAGCTATCTTACCTTCATGAACAGAACCCAGAAGAATCAGGAGGGCGATCTGATGATAAATATTACATTTGTGCTGTGTGGCGGACTTAACATTGCTTATAGGAACTTCACTTTTCAATTTGACTTCCTGATTAATTTCTGAATCTTAATGCTGTATGAATAAAGTAGCACTATTCAAAATTAAAATGGCACATATTAAATGGATAAAAAGCTGGCTTGCTCATAGATCTGAAAACAGTTGTTAATTCAGAGTTATCAACTAGTGGGATGCTACAAGGATTGGTTGTTGGCCAAGTGCTGTTCAATACCTAATTATCTGGAAAAAATACAAATAATACAAACGTATCAAGTTTCCAGGTGACACAAAGATTGGTGGGGTAGTTAAAAAGAATTACTTGGACAGGTGAGTGACCTGGAGTTTTTGGTAAGCTCAGGGCAGTCGAGCAATATGCATATTAATGCAACCAGATGCAAGGCTTTACATCTAGGAACAAAGAATATAGGTCACACCACCTGATGGGGGCTGTATTCTGGAAAGTTATGACTCTGAAAAGAACTTACGGGTTATTGTAGGTAACCAACTGAATATGAACTTGCAGTGTGATGCTGTAGTAAAATGGGCTAACTATACTTAAAGAATATCTTGCAGGAATAGGGAGGTGATATTACCTCTGTATATGGCATTAATGAGACCATTACTGGAGTACTGTGTCCAGTTCTACTGTCCACAGTTTTTAAAAGATGTTGAAAAACTAGAGAGGGTTCAGAGAAGAGCTTCCAGAATGATTTGAGGATAGCTCCTTAAAATGAGAGACTTTTAAGGACCCGAGCCTATTTAATTTATTAGAAATTTAGCCATGGCTGTAAATACCTCCACAGGGAAAAGATATCTTTAATACCAGATAAAGGCATATCAAGAGCCAATGGCTCGAATTTAAAGATGGCAAAGTTCAAACTGGAAATAAGATGAAAAAAAATTAATGGCAAGTGTAACTAATCATCAGAACAGCTCGCCTAGCGATGTGGTAGATTCTCCATCACTTGTGGTCTTTAAATTAGCCGATCAGATTTGTGGGGGTTTTTTTAAATGGAATTGTGGGTTTTGTGATAAAAGCATGAATTTTGCCACAGTCTCAGGGCATGGCCTAATAAAGATTTGCAGATATGGGGCCATTGCCAACTCTTAAAATGTCTGCCAAAGCCAACATAACATTATCCTAATCGGCAAATAATATTGTTTTACAGTTGGACATACAAGGGGTGTATTCTTGAGTTTGCTTCAACTTGACCTTAACATTGGTGAACACATTTTTTACTAATTTTGATTATCAATGTGGTCTTGGCAGAATTTAATCACATTTCCCTTTTTTCAGATGCTACCTTGGTTTTGTGAAAGCTGCTTGGTGATTGGATAATATTAACTTTACACAGTAGCTAAAGGATATTAGATTACTATTGGCTATTACAAGTGCTTCAAACATGTTAAAAAGATATACACTTGCTCGAGAGCCAGCTCCATCAACAGAGACATCTCATGCTTGTACTGACTGCAGCGAGTATGTGTTATGCCAGAAAGAGACAGATGCAGAGAATCCAGCAGAATCAAAAAGAGAGTATGCTGGATCTGGCTATCAAACTCTAGAAGAAAATATCAGATGTTTCCATAAGATGAATGCACTTCTCGTATGCGTAGATATATGCAGATTAGATTATGCTGATTGTATTGAAAAAATTCTTTGAACAAAAAAAATGGATGTTGGCACAAATCTTGCTACATGAAGTTTAACAGGACCAAACATAAAAGGGCTGGGGCGGGGGGGGAGGAAGCTAAGAAAGTTGTGGCTCAAACTGAAGAGGAAATACACACGTTGAAGAGACCAACAGGAAAAAAAGGCATCCTTTGTTTGTGAAATGAACATACTTTCAGAAGACCTCCATGAAGTTTCTGCCCTCGGCATTGATAGTCGGACTAGTTGCAAGTGTGTACTTCAGCTGCAAAATCAGTGCTTGTTTGCAAAACTAAGTGCAGCAGACTTAACGGCCCAAGAGACAATATGTCATACAACATGTTTGGTGTCTCTCTACAACAAAGTCAGGGAGAAGAAAACCAAGCAAAGCAATACAGAGAATATGTTGCATGGAATTGCCTTTGTTGATCTGATAGCATACGTTGAAGAGACTAGGCTGAATGAAGATGTGGCTGAAATCTTTAAATTAGCAGACCTCACAAGGTTCTGTACAGCTAGATTAGAACAGCTGGGGATGACACTGGCTGGGCAGATTCACAGCGCTGAACTAAAATCCCATATTCTTTCATGCATTGCAGATCTCTAAGCACACACAGAAGTATATGATGTGCATTTTGCCTTCAACCAAAATATTGGACATCCCCTCCGAAAAGCATGTGAGGAAGACTGTGACAAAGAAGCACTTCACCTGTTCCAAACAGCAAAAATTATTCAAAGGGACATGTTTCAAATGAAAACAGTTTACTGGATCATTTGACGCAGGATGCCAAGTAAAATGTGTTCCTGAGTGATGATTGGCACTGATGTCCATGATATTGGATGGTCCAAACATTTAAAACTCAGAACAAATTTCCATTCACCCAACTGCCCTTATTTTGGCACAACTATTGCAGTATAACAGCAACATCCATTGCCACAAAGGAATAGAAAATTTGTACCACAACAAAGCTCAATAAATGCCTTTACCAATCTACATATGCAGTGCTGTTGTAGCCATGTTGGTCCCAGGATATTAGAGAGACATGGTGGGTGAGGTGATATTTTATTGGACCAACTTCTGTTGGTGAGAGAAACAAGGATTTGAGCTACACAGAGCTCTTCCTCGGGTCAGCTGGAAAGCTTATCTCACCAACAGAAGTTGGTCCAATACAATATCTCACCTATCTTGTCTCCCTTAACCAATCTACGTTGGTTTTACACTTCATGCACAGCCATGAATAAGTGATCTAGTAGCTACCTTCTTTAAACTTGATTGTCCATCTCCTATGACAGCGTGTCGGCCACTTGTACCAGCATGGCAAATAGTGCATGCCAACACTTTGAGGATGAGAATGTAGTCTGTCCTCTAAAGCTTCATGATGGTCTGTTCACTACTTCTGCCACAGACAGCATAAACCACAATCCTAGGCTCCACCACAGCAACATGCTCCTCTCATGGAACTAGGGGATATCACTTTTTCAGCATCCCAGTACTCAAGTGGAGGCAATTGTCTGTGGAATTCCCACCCCAGACTTTGAGACTGCAGCATCATGAAGAAGACTATCTCATCACTTCCTGAGTCTTACACACTTGTCCCTCCATTCATCTTAAAGAAACCCAAGGCCAAAAATGTTGAAATCAAGACTGAACGCCAACTTATTACCCAAGCCCTGCAAGAAGAGTACAGGTGGCTTGAACAAATACGGCAAGCAGCAAATCTGGTTACCTTCAATGGAGATCAAGACATTTCCTAGGCCACTTACCAGGCTAGCAAACAAACAATGCCAGAGATCACCCCAGCCATCACTGCTCAATCATCCCCATTTTTCAAATGATTCCAAGTCTGTGGCAATGATTTATCATGCTGAGGATGTGATAAGGAATGCTGCACACCATCGAAACCTATGCCAAGTTCCAGTGATCATTGTGGATCAACCCCTTTTCACCATAACCATACAGATGCAGTGGACTTGGCCTGTTGGGTATGGGGAGGACAAACCACTTGTCGTTATTCTGGGTGGACTTTATCTGGAAATGGCAAGTCTAGAATCATAGAATATCATAGAATCATAGACTATCAGGGTTGGAAGGGACTTCAGGAGGTCATCTAGTCCAACCCCCTGCTCAAAGCAGGACAAATCCCCAACTAAATCATCCCAGCCAGGGCTTTGTCAAGCCTGACCTTAAAAACCTGTAAGGAAGGAAAAGCTGATTGGAGATAGTAAATGGTCAGAAAGGCCATTCTTCAGGCCAAACTGGCTTCTCCAGGAATGGTTGACTTTCTTGAAAATCTCTCATGTCATATGTAATAGACGTGCCCCAAGTAACAGCCAGTAACCTGTACATCTTGCTCCAAAATGCATAGACCACAGTATACCTAAGGTCTCGGGGAAGATGAGGCCCCCATGGGGTATGATAAATGGTGTGACAAATGAAAGCTAGAAAACCCAATGTTCCACTTCTGGCATACCACACTTCATCTGGAGCTTTTTGTATTGACCTATGTTGTGTCAATCCACCTGTTGTTCAATGTGGAGCCTGGCATGCACACAGGCTTGCTTGTGTGCTGGTGCTGAGGACTGTTACAATCCTCAAAGTGACCAGTGTAAATCCATATGAGTCTGAGACTGCAGATGGTTCAGGTTTAGATATGTAGCATTCAGCAAATATGTTGAAAAAGGCTAGACACGTATACTGTCATATTGCCCATTGCTGAGGAGTGTTAGTGTTTTGCTAGCATGATGGTGTGCAATAGTATACGTGGCTTCCGTTATAATGAATACGGTATTAAAAAAAATTGTGTCAATGAATAATTATGCATTTATCAATACAAAGCACAAGGCTAACGCTCCCTAAGTAATGAGCCATATTAATTTGTGTCAGACCATTTGTAGGAGTTGAATTTTTCTTTTAAAATAAAACAGTGATAATTTGTGTCAAAGAAATCTTTTGCATTACTAAAATTTGTCTTTTAAAATAAATTAAATCCCATTTTATTGGTCATTTTTTCTTTCAAACTTATCTTGACAACTTAAGTACATTTTTGTAGCCTTTTCACTTGCACAAAAGGTTCATGGGTACAAAAACCTTGCATTGGAATACCTTGCTACCCCTTTACAACACCACATCCACCCTAGATAAGTATCTAAGGAACACTTCTATTCAAATAACATAGTTGTTGCTTTTTGTACAGGGGCTGCTTCATTGCCAAGAACGGCCAGCCTGGGCCTCCAGACTATATATGCTAATGGCTCTTATTTGTGAAGGTCTCCCTTGCTCCTGGGCAGCAGCAGTAGCTTCTAAGGAGGTAAGTGGCATTATTGTCCCTCCCCATTGGTGATGTCATTTCCTGCAAGAGTTAGGGACCAATGACAGAGGCCCCTTCCTACTCCAGGGCAGCACCAGCCACCATGGTTGGTTGTTGAATGGGCTTGGAATTTGGGGGTGGGGGGGATAGTTCTTAATTCTGAGACGATGGTTCCTGAGCCATAGCTGTAAGGGTGGGTTCACGCCCTGCACGTGTTCTGCGAAGTCCGAATTCATCCCTATCTGGGTTTAAAGCTGCTTTGACTCTGTGCCACAACAGCTTTTTCTTCCATTGAATACAAAAGGCAGCTGCCTCTGCCTCTTCTGAGTCAGGATCTGGCTTTCGCAAACCCTGTTTGAAGGAAGCAAAATAATTACACACATTAATATACTTGGATAGACAAAGGGGTTTAAAATTTCTTATAGTACAAAGGGGCCTCAACACACCAAGTCTAGATGCCCACATGTGGGAACCAAGTTAACTTGGTTAGCCTGACACCTCTCCTAGACTAAACAATGGAACAGCTAACCCAGGACTGTCAGTAAAGAGTTAAAGGATGGAAATATAATGAAAGCCAATCAGCATGGTTTTATGGAGAAGAGGCACTTAGTGCAGTGTGACATTCTGATTAACAAGCTGGTACTCTGCAAAATCATTGCCCATATTAAATAGATCAGAAGCAGGCTAAATGATAGATCTGAAAACACAGTTGTTAATGGGGAATCAGCTAGTGAGGCTCCCAGGATTTATTCTTAGCCCAATGCAGTTCAGTATCTTCAATTAATTGGAAGAAAAGAAAATCATTGCTGAAAATAATCAGTAGATGACCAAGATCTGTAGGCTGGTAAATAACGAGGACAGGTCACTGATACAGAGCAAGCTGGATTGCTTAATAAATGGGGTGTAGCCAGGCAGCATTTGTTTTAATACAGCCAAAAGCAAAGTCATAATCTAGGAACAAAAAATACCTGTGTCCTGGAAATCAGTGACTGAAGAGGGTTACAGGTTATTCCCAGCATGATGCTGTGGGGACAAAAGCCAGTGCAATCCTTGCATGTACAAATAGGGCAATGTGTAGCAAGTGTAGAGAGGTGATACTGTCTCTGCGTACTGCATTGGTGAGGCTGTGTACAGTTCTACTCTCCACACTCCGTAACAGTATAGTTATGAGCTGGGTAAAACCTTGTTGGCAAGGTTCAACTGGGTATTTTTTGAGGGGAGGGGGGGCAGGAAATGACAGGCTGGTGTGCAGACAACAATCAGACTCAGAGAAGGAAATCCAAGCAGCAGCCTGTAAGCATGGTGTGGCCCTGGGAGAAGCTAGGGAGAGGTCAGGGCTGCTGGCTGAGAGAAGCTTTGGCCTGTAAGATGAGAAACTTTTAAATTTTGGTTCTTCCTGCATTTGGAAAAGCAGGACTATGTACTTCCTTGTCAATACACAACACTGCATCAAAGAACATACCAGTCTCCATCATACATTTCTACTCCCAACTGGAATGCCCCTGGGGCCCCAAACTTTGATTAACCACTTGGGTTGAAAAGGAGTAACGGTATGTTGGGAAAACGGAAAACAATTCAGAGAAGAGTTGCAAGAATGGATTTATGGTCTGGAAAAAGCACCTTAAAATGAGAAACTAAAGGAACTCAGTCCATTTAATTTATCGAAGAGAGAGAGAGTCTATAAGTACCTAAATGGGAATGATTTCTGTTAGTAGAAGGCTCCTTAATCTAGTAGACCAAAGACTGGAAGTTGAAGTCAGCAAATTCAAACTGGAAACGATGCAAATTTTTTAAGAGTGCTGATGATAACCATTGCCATTGAAAACATTTTCCCTGGGGATGTGGTGGATTCTCCGTCACCTGGAGTCCTTATATCAAGACCGGATCTCTTTCTGGAAGATGCACTGTACCTGAACCAGAAGTTACGAGTTCCTTGTGTTATACAGAAGGTCAGGCTAGATATTCACAATGGTCCCTTCTGGCCTTAATATTTACGACCTATAATTTCTGAAAAGTTGTATTAGCTGAGCCTGGTTGAATGAGTGCCTGTTTTCTGAGCACGCTCAGTTAAAGATTGCTCTATTAAATTATTTAAGGTATTTAGTTATTTCTTGCTGTCCTCATTAGGAAGCCCTTGAGAGTTTTAATGGAAACTTAACTGAGCCAAGACAAAGCCTAAGAGACACTTCACCTGTCTCTAAAGCCCCAGCTGAAAATCTACCTCCATGGCAGTGTTTCTTTTGGCCGTCTGCCTTTCTGTCCAAAATCAATAGCTGAAGGCACTTTGATTAACTTTGCCTATAGATATGGCCCAATACTTACTGGGCAGTTCCTCATCTCAGAGGGCAAGTTGGAAATTGTGACCGTGAAGGCCCATTATTTGGGGGGATGATTCAATACGGTAAGTACAGGGCAGGAGCAAAGGTTGCAGATCCAGGAAGCAGCTGTCTCCATTATAAGAGACTTGACCACAATAGTCACATTGTGTGAGAGATTCTAATTGTGGGTTTGCAGAACACAACAAATCCAGGCTAAGGAACATTTATGGTTCCCCCAGGGAGATAGAACTCCACTGCGATCAGCTGCCAGGGAGAGTTTGTTCTAGAATTGGTGCCTGGTCACCTCTGAGAGGCAAACACAGATTCCAGATGGGATTTGCAAAGGCTCTTCAGGGGGTGAGTTAAGTGCCCAACTTCCAGTGAGATTTGGACAGTTAACTCCCTTAAAATTCTCTGAAAGTTACAGCCTGAATCCAGAAGTGTTGGGGGTAAAAATGTGAATATATTTGAACTTGCCTTTTGAAAGAATCTTGACCTATACCAGTGCACACTTACTTTGACGCACGCGGCCTCTGCTGCCTTCAGGGACTGTAGGACCACTTGAAACAGATTCTGTGCATTGTTCACCAGTAGTTCAGCAGAGCACCTACTCCCTGCTGTTGCTGCTTTTACCCTTTAAAATATTTACAAATTTAAAGCGAAAGCATTACACAACTTGCTAAGTGATTACATACTGTCACTCTAGAGTCACGGCTGGCTGAGGGCTTCCTGGATCTCGGAAGGTCACAGAACAAGCTGATACATGTGGAAGGAAAGTGCTCCAGTACCGCTGGCCCTTGCTCATGGAACAGTTTTGACCGCAGAAGAGATTTTCAGCTTTAAAAAGGCGTTGTAGGGAGAGCAAAAGAATAAAAGCAGGAGCACTAGTAGCCAGCATGGAGAAGTAGCAAACGCAATGTTGAAACCTGCTGTAGCCTGAATGCCCAACGATACTGCTGCCAGTGCCTAGTTACAGACCCTTTCCCTTAATCACCCAGTGTGAGCTGGTCAAGCGGTGGTCCTTCCGGCCGAAGGGGGACAAAGAAAAACGATTGCTGCTATTTGGACTTAGCCGGTGTGCTCAGAGTGTGGAGATGGGGGTGACATAAGCACTGAGACTGTGGCAAGAAGAAAGGGGGGAGATGCCTCTGAGCTCTGTTTAACTAGCACAGAGAGCTATGCAGAGATATTCAGGACTCCAGAAAGCCACCAACGGCATGGCACTCGTTGGTCAAGGAGCCCAAGGGACAAAGGTGCCCAACTCACACTGGGTTTCGGAGTGTCAATGGAAAATTAACCGCAAGGAGCCAGAGAACCTCCAGGCAGACGCAGCATGGCTGGAAGCCTGAGATCAAGAGGGGACATAAGTGCCTCCTAGTACAAGTAGCGTTAGCTCTGGAGAATGCTGTTCAAACATTAGCTCAAGGCTTATTCTAGGCTCAGCTGAAGCCCAGAGGTGGCTCAGCACTGGCTGCCTGGGAGCAGGATCGGGCTCTCGGACAGATGGAGTTTACCACTGGGCTCTTTTAGAAGGGGAAAGATACGAGAGCCGAACCTTCAGTTCTGCACAGCAGCGTATAACACTGCATGGGAGGGTAAGATGTGCAGCTCACGAGAGGCTCCCTATTGTCTGCTATAGGAGTCGTTTCTATAGACACGCCTCATGCACATGCACTGATTTTAAAGGGACACTGCTGTGGGCTGTGGACCCCACCATGCCACGTGCTGAAAAGTGGAAGTCGGTGAGGAAACTTCGTGAATAGAAATATGTAACTATTTTAAAAAATCCGTAATTCAGAAACAAACTACAAATAGGATAGTTATAGTGATCTCAATAGGACTTTGGTTAAAATGCCTTCACTCCGCTGACTCGGCAGCGGCAGACAGTAGCAGGGATCACCCTAACCTAGGATGTGGGAACAAAAACCAGGGGATATGTTGTTTTTTAGCTTGTAAGAAGGTAAAACAAAGAGGAAAACTCTTCATGGCAGAGACAGTCTTCAGCCCAGTAACTAGATGCCTACCACTGGTGCCATATGCAAATACGAACAAGAAAGATAGTCAGCAGTGTCCTTTAAAATCCCTTTTTAAGAAGGCGCGAACACACACACCAGCCTTGAGAGAGAATATGCTTTGAACTTTCGGTTTACCTGGAAATAATTCTGAGCTGGTTGCTGATTGTTTGGATTTGCTCGGTGACACTCAGCAGTTCGGTTGCACATCTTTCATCTAGGCAGTTCTTTGCAATCAGGTGGCCAAATCTGACAAACACTTGCCCATTGGAAGCCATTTGACTAGCACAGGCAATGAGCTGCTCTTTGGTCTAAAATTAAATCAAAAGAAGTCGGGCAGGATAGGGGGTGTTTGCTATAAAATGGATGTAAAATCTACTGTTGCCTTGTTAGCGCTAGCGCATGTTAGCACTACGGAACCTTTATCCGAGCCTGGCTGAGGACACTGATTGCCCAGCTGTGTGGGTTTTGATGATGTCACATGCATGTATCAACTCCCAAGGGGGCACAGCTGGGCCCTCACAACAGAAACACCCACAAACTTCCCGATGCCCCTTATGGGCATGGGGTGGGGATATTAATGGACAAACAAACATCATAAAGAGACCCTGTGGGAATGGTTCAGAGGCTGATGGAGAAAACAGGACAGTTTTAAAGCGCTTTCAACATCTGAATTGCAGCCGCTGCAGCAGCAGTTCATGGCTCATTCCGCCATTTCTACCCCGCTCTGTGAAAGCTACATTGGGGACTGTTTGATATGCCAAACTCCATCAAAGAACTGGAGCTGCAAATAGACTTTGGGCCCCAAACTGCAGCAGCCAGCAGGCCTGTGGGGAGAAGAGGGAGGGTAATAGTTCCGAGAGCCAATGAATAGATTGAAATAGCAGGGGAAAGGGGCTGAATAATCTTCCTTGCCGCCTCCTTCTCCTTTTTGGAGGAAATTCTTTTCAGAGCATTGCAGATACACTCACACTAATGCTATTACACCTGTTTTAAATGAAACGGACATTGATTGAGTCTTCCCGGGGGGGAGGCGCGCAGGAGTTAGTGCGTGTTCAGCCTTGTCATGGTAACACCCCCTTTCTGACTTACTGAGGCATTGTGCTCTCTACACAATGTGGCTCAGACATTTGTCATCGCCACAAATAGGTGCTTGGAGGATTTAGCTGGCCCTGGTTGCTGAGTGAAATATTTCCTCCCATCCTATAACAACACTGGCAATACCGTTATCGGTCCCTTCCTCTTTAGAAACCGTGCCATGTGAGACATCCCAGTGGCCATTTCCTTGGTGACTTGGGACATTGTGTTGCTGTCATCCTGCCACTGTCCAGCGTCCTCTGGCAGGGCAGCAGGAGCGGCTCCCTTACCCTGCTCACTGCTAGTGGAGTGGGAGTCGTTTGGAGAGTCAGTCAGGAGCTGTGAAGACAGCGAAACAGATTCACCTCAAACAACCGACCTTCCCTTTTACCATCTCTGCATTACTGACGTCCATGGCAAAGTGCTGTCATGAAGAGGGTTTAGACAGTCCCTTTTTGGCAGAAATACCCATTTCCTAGATTAAAAAAGTATGTTTTGAATTTTTACACACGCATATCCTTGGGCTTGTTCCACGGGTTTATTCCTTGAGTCATTTCTACTAAGCAAAACAAACAGAAACATTGCCTAGATCCATCCCATCCAGTAAGCCAAGCGTCAGTCCTTGCTTTCCACTGGACTGAGTCTAGCTACCCCAGGGGTCCCTTTAAACAATTTCCTCATATTATCCCCTGACTTGCACCCCAAAGACCATCCTCATTGGAGCTGACAGCTCTAGGGCAGTTAGTTGTGAGCTAAAACAATTTTATCTGGTTTATTTTGAAATGTGTGAATGCCTGCTGCAACTGAAAGCAATTGTTTTCAGAAGCCGAAAATGGCAACCTCCCACACACTGCCTGACTAACGCATCATATTGGCTTCACTAGCTGCAAGGTGATCATGTGGTTTAGAAGCACTACCGCCCAGGTCCTGTCCAATCCTCCATCCTGCCCAAACAACTGCAAACGCTCAGCAGGATGCTGGGTGGAATATTGCAGTACGAGAGAAGATTAGAGTTGATTAGAGAGTTTAGGGGGTAGCAGATGTAACTGAAAGAAACCCTGCCACATCAAGAGCTGGGCAGAGAGTTCCCACAGCTGGGCAGGCGTAGCCGCGGGAATCCCACAGCTGTGCCCAGCCATCAGACTCTCCTTTTGTCATACCCACAAAGGCTGAAGATTGGAAGATTTATTCAAATGACTTGATGTCCAAATTGACATGTTTTGCAGAAACGGCAGCAAGCATCCCGCTTACCAGCATAGCAAGGCTACAGCATGGAGCACGCTCCATGGTGCAGGATTCTCGGGGTACATTCTAACAGCTGTTACGCAAACCAGGCACAGCACCCAGCCGCCCTTTGTGAAGCCCAAAGGAAATCCTTGTCAGCTCGGCAAGGCCTTCCGTATCCGTCACTTTCAAGCTTCAGCCCTAACTTGGCATCCGAGCGGCTTGTTCCAGCACTCTCAGAAGTCCTTCCCGTCATCTCTCGAAGTCAATGGAAAGATACCCAGGGACTTCAAAGGGCACAGCATCAGCCCCATATTGCACAGCTGATGAAACTGTACGTGGCCACAAGCTAATTCTAGGTCCCCTGCCTGTCTTCCTGGGCAGGGATTTTAAAAGTGGCTGCTGGGGCTCCCAGCCCCTGCTGACATTCAGTGCGACTCATGTGCCTAACTCCCTTGAGCCCCTTTGAAATCTCTGCTCCCCCCCCCCCCTTTTTTTTTCTTTTTACTTGACACAAGGAGGAAAATATATAAGTGGAGCTTCTGCTCTGGTAAATTCAGGCCCTCTCTTCCCCACACCCCAACTTCCCTCAAAGAAAAAAAAAAGTCTGATCTGTACCACTGAGGTAGCCTCCAATTTCATTCTGCAAATCTGCATGTTCTCACTCTATGTTCTGTGCTCTCAGTATGTCCAGTCACTAGGCGTCCCCTGTGCAGTTCAAAAGATCTGGCTATTTCAACTGGAGAAGAATGTGCTAGCCACTCACTAAGGGCAGGTCTACGTTACTGCTTAAGTTGATCTAACTTACATCACTCAGGGATGTGAAAAAGACACCCCCCTGAGCGACACAAGTTACAGCGACCTAAGTGCTGTCGACACCAGTGCTATGTCGGTGGGAGAGCGTCTTCACCAGATGCGCAGCTGCATTGGTACATCTGCACCGACACAGCTCTTTTAGTGTAGACTTGCCCTAAGTGCACCGACCTTGGCACTTTGCAGTGAATGCTGAATTATGTATTTTGCTAATTGCAGTTATCTCCATTTCAGGAAAAAGATCTGCAAAATGTTTACATTGTGCCTAGCCTCTCAGAGCTAGCTGGAAATACTGACCGATGACTAGGTGCCGATACCTTTTGTATTTAGTTTATTTTAAATGTATTCGTCCATCAAAAGTGACCGATATAAAATCTGGTTTCCAGTGAACTCCAGTTTCCGACAGTTTTGCATCAGAGTTAAGTGAGGCACAAGGCAATCAGCCGGCTTACCTCGTTAACCCAGTGACTGTGGTGCTACTACACCTAGGGAATCTTGAGCCCGGCCATAGGGGGCACTCACTGCATGTAGTTCTGCTGCTCGTAGGATATGGAAGCAACAGGGACAGTGAGCAAAAGGGGAAGATGGTTCTGTGCAGCCACAACTCCAAGCCATTGCATAATTTGATTTAAAAAAACCCCAAAAGTCTGAAATGAGCAAGACATGGGACTCTTGGACAAGCAGTGAAATGCAGTTGGCACAGTTTTGAGATTACACAGTTTAGAGATACATAGCTAAGATCTACTATACCATGATTTCAAATGCATCCCCGGCAGTTAAACCTTTGGATTCACTCATGGTAGGCCAGGCGTTTGCTGAATCGGCTTGGTGTGTGTGACTCTGGTGTTTGGTGCTGGGTGTCTTGGCAGAGGAGAGCTCTGCTTTGCCATGACATGGATTTGCAACAGCACGTGACTCGCTGTTTTGTAAACACTGCTTAACGAGCGCCAAGGCGGCTTTATCAATGTCCTTCACTGACTGAAGCTGCGTCACCACATAGTGCGCTTTAGCAGACCACTCCCATGCAATGTAGTCTAGCTGGACCAGCTCCTTGTCCTGCTGGCTTTGAAGCGGCTCACCAGCTCTTCCGAGCAGCTCAGCAGTAAGGAGGAGAAGGTTGTCTGTCAGAGAGAGCAGGCTTTCCCGCATCTTTAGATGAGCTGTGTTCTCCAAAGCGTCTTCTATGATGGTCTTGACCAGCTGGACATTTGCCATTATCTGACCTGCCTGTTTAACCATCACTCCGTCACCTCCCTGGGCACGCGCAGGAGGCCAGGCCAGTCTGAGGATGTTTTGGATGCCTCTCATGTACTCCCGATTGGTGCTGGTCAGGAGGAGCAGAAGTGCTTTCACTCTAACAGCAAACTCTCGTTGGAGCAGCTCAGCACGAATGGACAAGTTTGTAGCAGGCCCTGGGGAGACAGACAGAACATCCGCCACTTGCAACAGAGCTTCAGTTAGTACCTTTACCTCCTCCCGGAGCGCTAGGATGTCACGCTGCACACTGTGTTCAGCACAGGCGAGATAGGACAGCCGGGCTGCCTCCTGTATTCTCAAAGAGCTCTCGGAGACAGCTGCCAGGACATCCCGCAAGCAAAGCTTGTGCTTCATTGTATTCCTTAATTCACCTAGGAACAAAACATCTCGTCCTATGAGCTGATCCACCGCACTCAGAAGCACCTGTATGCTGACAGACCAAAGAAGGCAGATCCCCTCGAGATGGTCCTGGTGAGAATGGAAGCAGTCAGAAGACAGCGCCTTTTCAAGTAAATGCTTTGTATTAGTCTGAGCACGTGTGAATTTTGCTTGGACCCGTACAAACCTTTCCTGAATCTTAGGAACTATTGTGCGCTCCTCTTCACAATCTGTCTGTGCAACATCAGCCGCTAGCTGAACAACTGTTGCTAAAGTCTGCATTATCTCATCCAAAGTTTGTTTGCTCTTCAGAAAGTCAGCGGGAGCTACTGTGCAGAATAACTGCTGGACTAGACTGTACCAAGAGCCTGCCACAGCCACCAGGCATTGGTTAGTTTCACAAATCTTCTCCGATAACAAAACAGCTGTTGGAAGAAGTCTGTCTGCTCTGGAAACTGGGTTTGGACCTATCTCCCTAGCTAAGCTAATCACAGATGGTGTTAATAGAACTATCTGTCTGTAGTGGGTCAGCTTTTCCAGCAGTGGCGACTTGACAATTGGTAAGGCTTCCTGAGCTGCATCTACGCAACAGTTGGAAAGTTCAAGTAAACCAAAGCAAGCCGTGTTTACAGCAGTAATGTCATGTTTCTTTGTTGCAGTGATGAGTTCATTGATCACAGGATGTAAATCCACTGTTCCT